TTTGAAGATGCAAATAAAATCATTCTTATTTCATCATTAAAATGACTCATGCAGGGGGAGTGGGTGGCTCAGTCGGTTGGGCATCTGCCCTCAGGTCATGATCTCAGGGGTCCTGGGATAAGCCCCACGACAGGCTTCTTGCTCAGCAGGGAGTCTGCTTCTCCCTCTCCTCCCCTCCCCCTGCTCTAGCTCATAGTCAGTCTCTCTCTCTCTCTCTCTCAAATAAGTGAAATCTTTAAAAAAATGGCTCAGGCATAGAGCACTTTTTAATGTTGTTTGAAATGTGAACAATTTAAAATACCTGCAGATTTAAATGTTTTAGTCCAGAAAGGTCCGTCCAGTAAGTGGTACTCATTAAGGAGGTTTTACTGATCCCCGAGTCTAGGAGAGGGAGGCATCTTACTGACCCCGGGTGGCCACGACCTGACAGAAGGCTAAAGGTTCATCTGGAAACAGCTGCAGGGGACAGCAGGGCATACACAGTGGCCTCGGGGTAGAAGCTCTTCCTGGGACAGCCAGACTGCCCAGATGGCCTTTCCAGAGCTGGGAGATGCAGACTTGTCACTGAGGTGGAGGTTAAAAATAGTCCTGTGTGGGCGGCAGCTGGGCCCAGAGGCAGTGGCTTCCCTGTCTCCAGAGCAGAGAAGGCAGTCCCAGTTGACAGACAGTCTCTTAGGCTCTTGAGGCCTCCCCCAAGCTCCGGAGGGTGGAGAGGGGGGTGTCTTTCCCTAACAATGAAGACCCCCCCCCCACCCGTCCATACACCAAGTGCTGGAAAGAGCCGGGGTCCAGTTTTAAGGTAGCAAAGGGCTTACATCCTGGCTGTGTCAGTCACCAGCTCTGTGTCCTCTGGCAAAATTGCCTTCCTGAACCTTTATTTTCCCATCTGTCAAATGGGCTAATTGTTTATCTCCCTAAGGTGGCTGTGAAGCTTAACTAATTAAGAGAGCCAACACATTGTAGGCTGCAGCCTCACTCTTCGGCCCCTCTCCCTCCCACCAGTAGCTCTTCTTTGAGAGTGGCTCTGAGGCAAGCCAGCTGCCAGGTCAGCCCCGTGGAAAGGTCCAGAGGGGCGGAACTGAGGCCTTGAGTAAGAGTGGTGTCAGGGAGCCGTCTCAGGAGCCAGTCCTCTGCCCCCAGGAAAGCTCTCAGGAGATGGAGCCCTGCATTGGGCTCCCTGCTCAGCAGGGAGTCTGCTTCTCCCTCTCCCCCTCCCCCCAACTCGTGCTCTTTCTCTCTGTCTCAAATAAATAAATAAAATCTTTAAAAAATATTTAAGAGTTGATGCACATGAAATAGCCACCAGACTTACTGGGACAGTGGCTCCAGAAAGGGCAGAAGGGAGAAGCAGAGGGAAGGAGCATGAGATAGGAAGTCTCCGTCCAGGTCCGAGCCAGGAAGGGCCCTGCTCCAGAACTCTGGCGAGCGGTCTCAGAGACCCACTATACCCACAGACAATGGCGGCGCCATCTATAAAAACAGGACTCCGACCCACTCCCGGCAGCAACAGCCAAGGAGGCGAACCCGTGTCTCAGCGCCACTCAACAACTACCTCTAGCTCTCGACCCAAACACAGCCAAGACTGGGCCCCTAGCTGCAGCTGCCCCAATTTTGCCCCCATGTCCAATGTAGGACAAACTGGAAAAGTCCAGTATGCTCCCCTAACCAATCTCACAGGGCACTCCCCTTCTAGTTAGCACACCTACAGCTTTCCCACGCCGAGGCCTCTGATCAGAACCAGAAGCCTTCCCTTTGTCCCACCATAAAGCTCTCCTATTCCTCCGCCGGGCCTTCAATTCTCTGCCGAACTCAAGTGATGGTGGCTGACTCCCTTGGGGTCGCAGGCTCTGAAAACAGCCTTTGCATCTTCTCATCTGGGTGGTCTTTGTTTATTTCCACAAGCCCGTGTTCTCTTTCTGCCTTCCCGACCCAAGGTCCAAAAGACAACATCTTCCTCTTCCCCCGGGGTTAGCCACAGAAACCAGCTCAAGGATGATGGAAGGGGGAGGGGAGGAATAATTAAGAACGTAGCTTTGGAACAAGACAGATCTGGGCTCGAATTCTGCCTCTGATGCTTAGCTAGCTGTGTGATCTTGAGTAAGACAATTAGCCACTCTGAGCCTCTATTTCTTCATGTCAAGAGGACAATCCAGTGAAACCCAAGGGCTGGTGTAAGAACTTAGTGAGGTACAAATATATTAAATGCCCTAAGCATACAGTAAGTGCTTAATAAAGGAAGTGCCAGCCATCAGTCTCCTCACAGCCTCTTGCTGGTGTAGGCAGGCCTCTCTGGTCCCCACTGCTTTCTCTGTGCCCGCAGTCTAACCTCGGCTGCATGGAGTCAAGAGCCATGTCCCAGCTGTATGAAAGCTCAGGGGTTGGTCTCAGGAAAGGACGATGCACAAAGGACAGAACCAAGCATTTCTCTAAAGAAGTCCACTGGTCAAAGCAGAGGACAATGGGCGCCTGGGTGGCTCAGTTGGTTAAGCGGCTGCCTTTGGCTCAGGTCATGATCCCAGGATCCTGAGATCGAACCCCACATTGGGCTCCCTGCTCAGTGGGGAGCCTGCTTCTCCCTCTCCCTCTGTCTGCTGCTCTGCCTACTTGTGCTATCTCTCTCTCTGTCAAAGAAATAAATAAAATCGTTAAAAAAAAAAAAAGCAGAGGACAAAATATCTGGCCAGAAACCTGCTGTCTCCCTGTTCTCTCCAGGCTCTCAGTCGTGGTCAGGGCAGGGAGACCCTTGTGCCAGGCGGCCCTCCCAGGACCCAGGAGGTTGAGCTGAGTCTTCTTCCCCCAATCTCTCCTGCCCCCCCCCTCTGTGTGCGTGTGTGTGTGTGTGTGTGTGTGTGTGTGTGTTTCTTCCTCTCTAAAATGAGAAATGTAACAGTTTCCCAGGAGGCACACACACGTGGATTAGTTCTAATGGTGGGGCAGTGGCTCTGAGATGTTTCATGTCGAGGGTGTCCTGAGTCCCCTTACTCCCACTTGCCGAGCCCTCTCCATCCCTGGGTCTCTCCCTCTACCACCACCAGCAGTGTCCAAGCCTCCTGCAGCATCTTCTGCCTGGATTATGGAAAAGAGTCCTAACTGCTTTCCCTCCTTCTCCACAGCTCAAACAATGCAAATTACATCAGGGTGAGAAACCATCCCATGTCCCATAAACTCAGGCAGATTTTTAAAATAATGACAATAACCAGGATTGGGGGCAATGCCCGCCTTCCCCACAGGGCTGGAGTGTAAACTGGTGTATTTCTAATTAATTTTTAAAAGATTTATTTATATATATTTTAGGAGAGAGAACATGTACCCTCCTGGGGGGGGGGGATGGGGAGACAGAGGGAGATTAATCCTCAAGGGCAACCCCAGCTGAGCAGGGAGCCCAGTGCAGGGTTGGGTCCCAGGACACCCCTGTCCCCATGCGCCCCCCTTCCAGATCATGACATGAGCCAAAATCGAGAGTCTCATGCTCAACCGACTGAGCCCTCCAGATACCCCCTAAACTGGTGTATTTCTGCAGAGCCATTTGGTAGGATGTAATCTTTTGATTCTGCAGATCCATTTTTCAAAATAAAAATAAAGGAAAAAATGAGACCATGGAAAAGTTTGCACAGACTTCTTACAGGCTCTTTGTGGTAATATTGCTTCCCACGCAAAAAAGGGGGACAACTACAATATCCAAAAACAAACACCTTGGTTAAATAAATTGTAGTAGTCTCCACCTTGAAACACCATCCCTTCCCTTTAGCTGGTATTACAGATCAGTAGTTCCCAAAGCACCACCAGGAGGAAGGAGCGTCATCTGGGAGTTTGTTAGCAATATACATCCGGGGGTCTCCACTCCCAGCCTACCACTTCAGAAACTCTGGTTTGGGCCCAGTTATCTGGGTCTTAACAAGTCCTCCAGGATATTCAGAACCGCTGCTGTAGAATATTTATCACTACGAAAAGATACACAAATGACAAAATGTTGCAAAACCGTAGATACAAAACCACAGGCATGAACAGTGCATCTTTATCTGAATATACGTATGTATTGGGACACACAAAGGAAAGAGGCCAGAAGACTTTGTACCAAGGTGGTAATGTCGACACTCTGGGTGGTAGGATTATGAGATTTTAGATTTTTTTCATTATGCTAATCCGTACTTTCTAACTAGTTTACAATGATGCGAGTTTTTCTGTAAAAAAGGAATGGAAAAAACCCGCAATAAACTTCTTAAATTAAAATAAACGGATCAAGTGAGGCAGGGTGGGGGCAGGGTGGGAAGGAGGCTGCACCACCCGCCGCCACAGCCTGCAGCGTGGGGACAGCGGGGAGGAGCGGGGAGCGGCGTGAGGGACCGCTGGGCACCAGGCGCCACCGCGGCGGTGGAGGAGAGGCGAGGGAAGCTAATGTCGGGGGAGGAGGGGTGTCACAGTTACTCCTCGGATGTCCAGGAAGAGTTACTAGGAGCCGGAGAGCGGAGAAGAGATTTAGGGCAGACTTCAGGAAGACCTTAACTGCCAGGAGCCGGGAATCCCGGAATGAGCGCCTCGGGGAGATCTTCCACCCCAAAACAGCCAGCCGCTGCCCCCGGGGTCTCGACCTCCGCCGGCCCGAGGGCGGGGCTTCCGCATCTTCAGTGCCTTCCAGCCTCGGTACTCGGGGGGCGCTGCGCCTGCCGCCCCCGGGGCTCAGCAGGGGAGGGGGATGGCGGGGGCGGGGCCGTTGCTAGGGGAGGGGCGGCGGGGCGGGCGCTCAGCACAGCCTGCGACCAAGACGAGCGATCGGCTCTCCGGCTCCAGCTTCCGCGCCGCCTGTTGCTCGCTCCTCCGGGCCGCCGCTTCCTGCCCGGTGCCCGGGGCAGGCGGCCCGAGGGGTGCCGGCGCGCGGGCGCCCTCCCGCCTTCCCCTCTCCCCGCTCGCAGCCGGACCCCAGCGTCTCCCGGAGGGCGGGCGCCGGCCGGCCTCCCCGTGCGCCCCGGCCCGCGCTCGGAGACCCCGGGCGCTGAGCGGCGATGAACGCGACCTTCCTGAACCACAGCGGCCTGGAGGCAGAGGGCGGCTTGGGCGGCGGCGGCGGGGCCGCCCTGGGGAACCGCAGCCACGGGCTGGGCACGTGGCTGGGCTGCTGCGCCGGGGGCGCGCCGCTGGCCGCCAGCGACGGGGTCCCCGCGGGGCTGGCGCCCGACGAGCGCAGCCTGTGGGTGACGCGCGTGGCGCAGATCGCTGTGCTGTGCGTGCTGTCGCTCACCGTGGTCTTCGGCGTGTTCTTCCTGGGCTGCAACCTGCTCATCAAGTCGGAGAGCATGATCAACTTTCTGATGCAGGAGCGCCGGCCCTCCAAGGACGTGGGCGCCGCCATCCTGGGGCTGTACTGAGGCCGCCCCGGCCCGCGATCGCCAGCCCGGCCCGCCAGCAGACGAGGAGGGAGACCGCGACCCTCGTGCCCCGCACGGGCTCTGCCGCCGCCGCCGCCGCCGCCGCCGCCGCCGGGCTGGCCGCTCGAGGGACAGTGACGGGCCCCGAGGGCCCCCCGGGACCGGGACACCGCGGGACTCGAGGCGGCGGCGCGGGAAGGGACTTCCACACCCGGCTGGTCCTGTGGGCGCCTCGGCGTGGCGGGGCGGGAGGGGTCGTGCGAGGCCAACCGGGCCCGAGGTCACCGGCGTGGGAGTTTTGTGTGTTTGTGGGTGGGCGGGGTGGGGGAAGTTGTGGGAGAATCCGAGTCGCTGCGCTTGTCGGCCTGATTCTGCTTTCGAAAAGAAACCTTGTAATAAAACTGCAGCCTTCGGGCTTTCCGCGGCTTCCCACCCGCACCTCCGCGGGGTGTGTGTGCCTGTGTGTCTGGATGTGTGTTGCCTGGGGCAGGGCGCGGAGGGCGGTGTGCGCTCCCTGGGCCGCACGGCCGCCTGACTGCCGAGCCGAGCAGTGGGGGGCAGGTCCGGGGCTCCTGAGACCCCACTCCGAGGAGGCCAGGAAGGCTGCAGCTCCGGAGGGGAAAGGGCTGGTTCTTCAGGGTGGCCAGACCGCCGGTGAGAGTATTAAAATCTTTGGGAAATGTCAATCTATTCCGCGAGATTAGAAAAAAGTCAGTTTAAGTCCAAAAGGGACGAAGAGCAAAATTAACACATCAGAACCGTGAACAAGTAAAATTTAATGGAGGGGCTTGGCTAGATCTAGTTAGATTACAGAGCCAAAAGCCTCTATTAAGGGCTGGTTCGGACCCCACCCTTGTAGAGTGTGGAGTAGTAGTAGTACGCACTGAAAATATGTCCTTGCTGCATGGGGAGCGGGGAAAGCAAGTTTGGGAGAGGGCTTTGTGGTGCAAAGAACCCAGGATGTCTGAAATGCAGAAAATGGCCTCCAAATGCAGCTGTGTTGAGGGAATTTTGAATCTCACAGTATGAGATGCCCCCTGACGCCCAGAACCCTGCCCCCTCTTGCACATGCCAAATTAACTTAGAGCAGTGTTAATGGCTAAGAACCTTGGCACTCACTGGCCAAGGGGGAGTGGGCTGCTCTGCTGTCTGGTCGGGGGAGGGCTAAGACAGGTTGGTGGAGGGGAGGCACAGAGGAGGAAAGAAAGCTGGGCTTTGTAGCCTATGGATAGATCTGGTGGTCCTAACCCCACCCAGGCAGGCACCTTGGTGTTTGGAAGATTGGGGGGTGGGGGAGGGGGCTGTAAGGGATTTCTCCCTAACCTCTTTTTTGCCACTGAAGAAAGTGAAGGTGAATGGGAAGGAAGATGGCTGAAGCCTTTCTTGGCTTTGAGAGGAGAAGCAAAGGAAGCACCGTCCCCTATTTGTAGCACTGTGTTCCACCCCGGGAGAGGGAGCAGTAGCTCAACAAAAGCATCGATGGTCTCTGACCATGAAGAATCCAGAGTCTTACTGGCTCCTGAGCCCTCCTGGGCCATCAGAATCCTCATCACTGAGACATGTCCCCTACCCACCCACCCCCCCAGCTCAATCTCAGACCTGGGAGAGTTCCTCCAGTTTGACAGGTCAGGCCAGTAAAGGGGCCAAAGACTACCTGTGAAGTGTCCATGAGGCAAAACCCATCATGTGGAGAACATTCTTCTGATGGCTTGGACAGGCAGGTGATCCAGCGCCTTCTGGGGCGATCAGCCGTTAATGATCTGGGCAGCCCAGATCTGGCCTTTTTGTAGCCCAGGGGTCTGGAGCCTGGGCCGACCTAATGCCCACAGGCCATCGAAATGCCCGCAGGACACAACTCCCCCAGCCACAAGGGTTCCCCTAAAGCCCCAAAGCAACTGACAAGCGAGAGTTTCAGGAGGAACAGAGGCTTAGACACTTTCCAGGCTGACCAAATTAGAGCCAACACTTCGAGAACTTTCCTCTAATAACATGGATCGGCTGCTAACTGTGACCGGGGCAAGAGGAGGGCTTTCAATAGTTAAGGTGCCTGAATTTGCTGAAAAGGGAAAGCCTTAGCAGGAAAAGCCTTTATCTCATCGTAAAGAAAAAAAGGCCAATGAAGACACGTCTGTGTCCCCCATCCCATGACTAGTGCACTCGAGAGTGTAAATACACATACATGGGCACACGTGTATAAGGGTATGTTCATGCATGCAGACACACTCAAAGACAGGCTCAAGCCTCAAGGAGGACAACAACTGGTCCCCCAGTGTCTGCTGTCCCCCAGAGCTGTCTCATATAAAGCGTGGGGATGGGAGAGTGGAAACGGGGACTTACATAAGAGCATATGAGGTCTAGTGCTCCAGGGGAAAGGTGCGGCCAGATCAGAATTCTGAGTCTGGAACTTGGAGGATGGAGGAAGGATCTGCTTCTCCAAAGTCCTACCCCCACTATTGGGCAGGGAGAGCTCCTCTGACAAGGCCTGCCCAGGATGCTGGGGCCAAATCTCCAAAGGTCACAGGTTCACAAAGATTACCTGGGACCCTGGTCTTTGAAATCTTAGCTTCCATGCTTCCTAGCTCTGTGATGCTGGGGAATTAACTCAACCTCTCTATGCCTCAGTTTCCTCATCTATAAAATGGGAAGTAATCGACTCCAGAGCTCCCAGGAAGTGATGTGTGTAAAGCAGCCCTACGTATAATAGGTAATAACATGGTTATGATTATTATGATTATTGTTCTTTTGGTTTAATGCATGAACTTTTCCCCAGTCAAATATATCTGGTTCTCCGAAATGAGATCCCGGGACAGAAAAATAGTCATTCATATTTGCAACGCATTTTGTAGTTTCCAACCTACCTTTGTAAGCAGGACACAAACAATGTATCATGTTAATAATGTATTTGACAATGTGTCAAGCATGGAGCTCCCATCCCTGCTGTGAGGAGGGTTTCATTATCACTCCCATTTTACAGATGAAGAAACTAAGGCTCAAAAAGGTTGCCTGATGTCACATAGCTAAAAACAGGCAGAGCTAGGGTTCCACCCTGCCTGTGTGACTCGACTTGACTCTACCTGGTTCTGTTTGCTCTCCGCAGTAGCTTAGGAAGAGTAGACATTCTCCTGTGTGTGTGTTCGTAGGAGAGTCAAGTTAAACAGGCTTGCCCAAGTTCATTCATTTGCCCAGTGTCTATTGTGGATCTGCTGGGGACCAGTACTGTGCCAGGCACCAGGGTGAGCAAGGCAGTGACCTAGCAGCCTGCAGCCCACGAAGCCCGAGATACTCACATCCCTTCTCAGGGCCACTAGCCTCTGAGATGGCAGCTGGGGGAGCATCGGAGGCAGCACTTAATTACTCTTGAAGCCTTAAGCCTTTAGACCCAGGAATCTGCAATTCTAGTCCATAGATAGAAAGAGCTTCATCCATAGGGAACACTCTAGAATTTTCGGGAGAAAAAAAATAAAGCGCCAGTCAGAAAACTAACTCTTATAAGATTATCATCTGGCTTTCTGTGTGTTCTGTCATCTTGGATGAGCCAAAGGTCACACTGGCGGCTCCCGGTAGCCCCCCACTCGTGGGCTGACCCAGGTGGGCAAGCCAGCGGTCACCTCCTGACACAGACCCCCCTTCGGACACCAGGGGCCGTGAGTTTTTCTTTGCACCCCTGCTTGTGCTCTATTCCACAAGCCAGAGTACAATAGAGGCAAACTATCTTTTTTCCCTTTTGTATGGTCACTCTGCTACTCACTTGAAGGGCATTATCTAAATTCATTCTCATAACAATCCTTTAAGGTAGATATTAGCATTATTCCCACTTTATCTTTTACTGATGATGAATCTGAGGCCCGAAGAGGTTAGGTAGTGGGCTCAAGGTTACAGCGGCACAGGGGGTGTGGCTGACATGCAGACCCGGGTCTTATGAGCCTGCCCACCGGTTCCAGGATGGCCGGGTATGTCCCAGATGGCTCTCCTGGGGCTGCCGCTAAGGAAGCTAAGCTGAAGGCAGATCTGCCCTCCGGACACTAGTAACACGACCATGGAACAACGATCCATTGGGGTGGGGCTCAGTGGGGCCAGCCTCTGTGCCTCCAGTATTAGGGGGTGGGTAACCAGCCAGTAGGGTGCGGGGTTCTGGTGGGAGCCTGCAGGCTGGCTGTGAACCTACGTTTCTCATGGGGCCCATTTGGCAGAAGGATGTGTGGGCAGAAAGCCCAGGACAGGGGACCTGGACGTTGAAGATGACACAGCCAGACAGGCAGAGGCCAGCCTCCGTCACCAACGGTCATGCTGAGCGAACTGCTGCTTCCCCGCTGGGCTGGCCCAGGCCGACAGACCTGTGCTCCAAAGGTGAAGTTCAGCTGGGGCTCTAGGGACCTCCCAAGCAACACTCACCTTCTTGCTGGGGGTGCGGTTCCTGGTCTGGGTCCTGCTCCCGTAGTGACACTGAGAGGGATTATGGTGGGGCTTCCGAGAAAAAACAGTTACCTGCCTTCAGAGGGCTTCCCCCACCTCCCCATGCAGACTCTCCCCTCTGTCCAGTGTACCAGGCCCAGGCCTCGTGGAAGGGTGACCTTCCCTTAAAGCTGGGCCCTGGGCTCTGCCCCTCTCTCTGCTTCCCAAAGCTTCGCCCTCAGTGCTGGCAGGAAGAGGGAGGGAGCGTGGTGCCTTCAGCCCCTCCTGCTGAAACCAGCCCGTCTCCCTGCTTTGCTCTGTGTGGGGAAAATGAGAGCAGTGCTCTGGCCTGGCATCAAGGGGGCAAATGGAATCAACCTGGGATCTTGAGTCCTTTCCAGGAATGTAGCTGGATTGGCCCCTCCTGGGGCTGGGAAACTTTGGGCCCTAAGAAGACTCTGGAGACCTGGGAAGGAAGAGGAGGAGGAAAGGAAGGACTTGGGGACAGGACAAGGGACCCAGAGCAGTGGAGGGCTGGAGGGGGCCCAGCCAAGGAGCACCCCCCGCCCAATGGCCCAGCTCCCTGCTGCAGGAGCAGCCCCAGGCCT